AGCTTTTGTGCAATACACGTTGCCTTTCCGAGCACTGGCACTACCGATTCTTCCACAACCTTGAATGTGATATTGCTGGACTTGTTCTTGGTGTTACACACAGGATCGATTTCACCGATCGATGATTTGAAAACGAAACGAGCCATTTGGTTTTAGATGGACGCATACTGACCAGCCACAATGGAACTACGTTACAGTGAGCAGCTGAATCAAGCTTTACCGAAAACTTCTTGTTGTGCACTTTCACTATTTCAAACCAATCGTTTTCTTTGTCCGAGAATTCCACTGATCCAATAAACAGTTCTTCTGATTCTTCTTCCGATTCACTATTATCCTCCACCAGTGTTGGAAAAATATCAAAAAAACAAATCTCACCAATGCCCAAGATCAAGCTTGATTTTCGTAGACAAAAATCAACGAACAAATATCTACGGTTGATTTGCAAACTGTGATATCGCAGCTCGGAATATCAAGCTAACAAAACTCACCAACTGCAAATCTCACGAAACAGTTGTGAGATTGAGTTTAATGATTTTTGCTTTACACCCGATACTTCCATAACGGCTTGCAGCAGTCCCTTCGCGTCTGCCATCGGCGAAGATTAAAAAGAGATAGCAAACTATGCTTTCTCTCTCTTTCTAAGAAAACGATGTGCAACGGAATCATTTTTGTGTCGAGTCAACTCTCAGCTTGATTTTTGCATGCTGTGAATAGTCTCGCAATATTAAAGGAGCTTCTAAAATCAATAACAAGCATGATATTTTGATCCAATATCACGCGTGATATTGATGAATCTACGCGAAACTGCACCAGTGCATGCGACACCTAGGTTTGATAACCAAAACCACAAAAGTGATGATGTAATAAAAAATATTCCATACGATTTGACAGGTAGCAAAACGTCATTATCATTTTCACATCATTTCCGTAACGTAGATTCATCAATATTGAGAGCGTATGAGAGTGGAAAAATATAATTTGATTGATGATTTTGCCAACACTGTCCTCCACTGATGCTTGAATGGTATGCACCACATTCTTCGACCGGCACATAGCCGCAAATGGTTCTGTAAACCACATTTTCGACAGACTCTTCCGAAAGCGGGACACGACCGTTTCGTGTGCTTTCTTCCGCACACGTCAGTTCGAAATTGCGACACAACTCAATAGTTTTTTGCCGTGTCAAATCATCATTCAACAACTGTGGCACTAGGTTTGTGTATTTGACGCCGATTATGATTCTATCTTTCACCAGAGAATCATGAAGCACACTGAATGAGCATTTTTTCGCCTGCTCTTTCACTCTGGTAACAAAACTGTCAAACTGTTCTCACTCTGTACGATTCGGTTAAAGTTATATCGTTCGAACGTGATACACGATTTAAGCCTGGTACGCAGCTGAAAAGAAAACGGAAAAGTAATTTTTGAGCATTTTTCCCAAAAGAAAATTTGACAGCTATAGTCTGCTAAATTTTGAGATTATAGGGAGATGTGGTCAAATTGTAAAATCAACACTTATTAGTGTTTATGTTGTTTAAATGCATCCAAAACATCAGTATTGCAATAAACGCCAACATTACCTAACGGAATAATTGATCAGACCATTATTCCGCAAGGAAAGTGAAATTGCATTCAGAATGCGCCACCTTCATGTCGATCACGATACTAATGTAATCGATCTTTCCTTTACCGATTTCTTTTGAACTGCGTACTGGGTCAAGAAATGCTGAGAAAAAGTAATTTCTTTTGCATTCCGTGTCCTATCCGGTAGCACATAAAAACGTCATTACTTTTCAGCTGCGTACCAGGCTTTAGGTGTGAAGTATTCTCGCGTCACTTTTCAAATAGACCAATGTAACATATCCACCATTTTGAGAAAATCGAAGTTGAAGTTCGACAGATTATTATTTTAACTGTTTAAAAACAATACATTTTGCAATACTATTTTTAATGTTTAATGTTTAATGTTTTAACGTTGAAAATTCAGAAGAAACGGTAAAATCACAATTTTACTTTGAATTTCATGCTACAACATAGACGGACGTTTTGACAAGTCGAGTTGTACATCGGACATGTTACATTGGACGATTTTTCTCAATGACATAATCAATGAGTGTTACATTGGACGTTTTGTCTACATGATACTAGATTCCCTTTCACAGATTTCAAAGTATAGTACCTAACTTTAGATTGGCCCCGCCTTTGGAAAATGAGCACCAATCATGTTAGGCAGTCCAAATGACCGAAGTAACAATCATGTATCCATCATTTCAAACTATACATTGGACAATTTTTGATCAATGATTATCTTAAATAAATGAAAGTAAATTTGGATGGATGTTTTTGTATCACATACAATGACAGAAGAGCAATAGTTTGTATCGCGTAACTCGATTTGTTTACATATGTTACATTGGTCTATTTGAAAAGTGACGCGAGTATTCTCAAGCCTTGCTTTTATCACTTCTACGTCGTTTTCTTCTTCAGGACGTAGACCAAATGTGTCATAGATCCGCACACAATCTTCTCCTACACGGTAAGAAAAAAGTACCTAACGGAAAGTTCACTTTTACTTACTTTTGACTAGTTTGTCTCCTTTTCTCCTTGTAATGTTGTCAAAAACGGAGGAGCAAAACCACCCAACAGGGGTAGTAAAGTGTGGGAACCCAACGTTGAGTATAATCATATTTACCTACTGTTGGGTACAACTAACTTACTTTTGGTTAAAAAGTCAGTGGAAAATTCCATACGAACTGCACACAAGTAAATGAAAATTACTTTGACCCGCTTTACCTACTTTTGGGTTCCTGTACTATAGTGCCGAGATGAGTGAAAAGAACTTAATTTTGGGTACTTTTTTCTAACCGTGTAGTCTGCGATGGGTTCGCAGGTCGCCTTCTACTTGGTCAATCCACATTGCCCGATGCACGCCTCTTATTCTTGTTCCTGTTGGGTCGCTTTCGAGAAACATTTTCACTGGGTCGTTATGAGGAATTATTATGACGCAACACCTTCCGTACGAAAACACCAAGGGCGGCGCGTTGGTCTTCCACGAGCATAGTCCTGGTCTCGTAATCGTAGTGGCCCACCGGTCTAATCAGCGTCTTGTAGATAGTCAACTTCGTCTTTGAATTTCTCTGCTGGTATCATTTTCGGCGGTCACCAGTGAGCCCAAATACACGAACTCGTCGACCACCTCGATTTCATCACCGTCAATCTGAACTTGGGTGGGAGGCTAACATTTTCTTCCCTAAAACCTCTTCCTTTCATGTATTTCATCTTCGATGCGTTGATGGCAAGTCCAATCCGCCTAGCTTCAACCTTCAGTCTGATGTACACTTCCACTTCCGTCATCGACTCAAAGTTCCGTGCCATGATGTCGATGTCTTCGGCGAAGCCAAGAAGCTGGATGAACCACTGTGTCACTCGTGTCTTTCCCAGCTCTTCTGATCCCACCTTCTAACGCGATGTTAAATAGGTCCGAAGGTCCATCACCTTGCCGTAACCCTCTTCGAGATTCAAAGGACTCGAACAACGCGCATCACTTGATCCATCGTCGCCTTGACCAATCGCGTCAGTTTATCCGGAAATCCGTACTCGTGCATAATCTGCCATAGCTGATCTCGATCGATTGCGTCGTATGCGGATTTGAAATCGATGAACAAATGATGTGTGGGCACGTTGTATTCGCGGCATTACTGCTGAACCTGCCAAATCGCGAATGTGTGGTCCGTGGTAGCGCAGGCACCCATTAATCCTGCCTGGTATTGCCCCACGAACTCTCTTGCAAATGGTGACAGGCGGCGGCATAGAATTTGGGAGAGTACCTTATAGGCGGTGCTCAGCAGTGTGATCGCGCAGTAGTTGCAGCAATCCAACTTGTCGCCTTTTTTGTAGATTGGGCATACGACGACTTCCATCCACTCCTCCGGTGATATCTCCTCATCCCAATTCTTGGTAATAGCCTAGTGCAGCGCTCTAGCCAGTGCTACACAACCGTATTTTAATAGCTCACTTGGTAGATGATCTACACTAGTTGCTTTGTTATTCTTCAGTCGACCGATCTCCTTCTCAGCTTGAAGATCTGGGGCCGGGGAGGTGCTTGTCATAGTACTGCAATTCAAATCAAATCTCCCAGATAAATTAAATCTCTCATGATACGAGGTGACGAGATCTTCAACTGCCGAACAATTTTAATCACGTCTCTCAGATATTCACGCACGAAAAGGGCCATGGTTTTGCGGTCCGCATTTCATCGTAGAACAGAACACAAATGGAAGTGCTGCTGTGAAAATGTGTGTATTGTGCTGATCCGAACGGTAGGTATTGGTTGTTGATTGTAACACCTAAATTAGCCCCAGCCTCCATTATTTCAAATTGATATCGCTTCTAAAAATAACAAACATAAATATTACGAGCGGACGCACCGTACTGACCGGTCAGACAACTTATCTGCAGCTAACGTTAAATATACCCTCACCACTAGCAAATCCGCTGGTGGTAGGATGGTGAAGAGGCTCTAAATACATGGCGCTAATGCGCTGCGTGCATTTCGCGCGTTCGTGTTGGTTTGACTTGCGACTTTTTTGCTTGCAAGATGAATACCTTTGATGACGAGAAGCAATGCAGCAATGTAAATTTGCATTTACGCTGAGTACGTACATTGTGGGTAGGTACCTATGTCCGGTCCAAAGAAAGTTGTCCAGTCAGTTTCGATTGCAGGCTCGTCGCGGGAGGATTGAACATTTCGATTGAAGTTTGAATTATTATAGACTTGGTGAGGGCAAGGCATTCGGATATCTTGCGATTGTTGTTTTGATTTCGATTTTGAGTCCTAGATAGGAGCCAAACGATACAATCTTATCAAACGGCTTAAAAGAACAAAAACAAATCAGTACGAAAATAATTATTCGGGCGATAACCTCTAACCGAACAACGGTAAAAAAATGCTGCAGCACTCGATAAGCAATCTCCATTCTTCTCTCTTACCCATTTTGCAGGAGCAACGCTATCGACTACCTCATCGCTACTGAAAGCCAACAACGATCCCTCCGAAATGAACAGCGTCCACACGGCCAACATTGCCGAGGTGCACGAGATGCCCATGGCCGTAATCAACCGTCCCATTCCGCCGGTTCTCGACGACGTCAAGCTCCAATCGCTGATGCAGACCATACAGGTTCGTTTGGACTTTCGATTTGGAAACGAATCCGCTTTAAAACTGCCTTTCATCTCTCTCTTCCAGGACCCAACGCAACTGGCCACGGTTCCACCGATCGACGTCCTCTGGATCGAAGGCACCGAAGGTGGCAACTACTACTACAGCTTCGGGGGATGTCATCGTTTCGAGGCGTACAAACGCCTCGGCAAGCCGACCATCACAGCTAAGCTGATCAAATCGTCCCTGTCCGATTTGCAGCACTACCTCGGTGCCAGCTGCCCGAAGCACCTCAAGTGATTCAGACGACATTCCGCCAGATAATATTTTAATTGTATCTTATTTGTTTTATTAATCATCTCGTGTACCAGCTAAGTCAGTAAATGTTAAGGAAATCGTTAAACCGCTTAACTAGTTTTTACGAAAATATATCGATGTTTTACAATCTTCTTCGTGTAACACGATGCAGATTCCTGATTTTCCGGGGGGAGCGGGGTCGTAGAATTGGAAGAATTTCGGATTGACTCACCTTGAGTATTGAGGGGTTTTGGTTCGCAAGTATCATCAGTTTAGAAAAAAAAGGCATCTGTTCACGATCCGATGAGAGCCTCAATCTGTCGGATGTCCTTGACGCAACCCTCGGTTAGCACTTCGATCTGGTTGTCCGGTTTGATCAGGACGTCGTCTTCGATTCGCAGCCCCAGTCCTCGGAACTCCGGTGGGACGTCCTTCCGTCGATGGCTGATGTAGATGCCTGCGGAAGGTGAAGGTCCATGTTTAGACTATACCACCTAGGATGTTCAAAGTGTTCTACTCACCCGGCTCAACCGTACACACCATGCCCGGAACCAACGTAATGCTCCTGGAAATCATCGGCGTATCGTGCACGTCCATCCCCAAGTAATGAGACACGTGATGCGGACAGAACTTATACGCCGCCCGACCCAGCTCCACCCCCTGCACAGCCCTCGGAATCAGTCCAACTTCCTGCAGGTACTTTCCCAACTTGAGGCACATCGTGTCGAACAGCTGATCCAACGTTTCCCCTCCGGTACTCTGCAGACTTTCGAGCAGCTCCCGCTGCACCTGCGACAGCAGCTCGTACAGTATCCTCTGCGGTTCGCTGAACTCCCCATTGATGGGCCACGTTCTCGTGATGTCACTGGTATAACCACCGTACTCGCACCCGGCATCCATCAGGACCATCTCGCCGTCCCTCACGATCTGATTATTATTCACATAGTGTATCACAGTAGCATTCGAACCTCCGGCCACCACCGGAGGGTACGCCATGTAGTTTGCCCCGGCCATCCGACTGAAGAAGTCCACCTTTGCGAACAACTGATGCTCGCTCTGTCCGGCTCTACTTTCCTGGATGGTCCGATTGATGGCAGCCGAAGCAATCTGACAAGTTCTTCTCATCAGCTCCCTCTCCGCCGGCGTTTTCACCACCCTCAGCTTATGGATCAACGCCACCGGAGAACGGTTCACCTCCGATTTGCTGACATCCCCAACGATCTTCCGCACATCCTCCAAATCGCAAACTTTCGCATCAAACCAAACCAGTCCCTGTGGGTGAGCGAACGAGTACTTTATCAAATATCCTTTCAAATCGTTCACATCGATAGCTTGATCCACCCCAAAAACGTGCGGAGAACGTTCCACACCTGTCCGAGGGCCATCCCACAGTTCCGCATGGCTATCCTTCGGTCGCACGAAGAGAGTACTCTTCTCATTCCCGTTACTGTCCACCTCCAACGTCAGAACAGTATCCGGCTCGAGACATCCACTCAGATACAGAAAGTCCGTATTCTGTCGGAACACGTACGGAATTTTATCGCTCATGTACTTTTTGTTCGCCGATGGGATGACGACAATGTGCTCCTTGATGTTCCTATCCAATCCGGTGGCAGCGTAGTTTCGGACCATGGCGAGCAGGGCTCGACGACGGGCCTGGATCTCTGCGAGGCGGATTCCCGGGATCAGTTCATCTTCGTGTAGCAGGTGTGGATGGGTGCTGGACATCGGTTGTCCGTAAGAGATGATTGGTTTCGATAAATCTAGCGGTTCCTGTCCGGTGGGGGACGATGATGGCACTTTTGGCAACCCGGCTGGGGTTGCGTTCGACGAGCAGTGACGTATCGGATGGTTTTTTGAATCTGTGTGGAATACACCGAATTTGGTTGGAATTATCTAATAAATTAGTAACATGACAACGGTACTCACCACATAGCGTCAGTATTTTTAAAATTTGCGACCGTTTGGACTGAAATTGGTGATAAACTTTCGCCAGATTCATGATGGTTTGGCGCTGCCGAAGTCTTTTGCGTTTTACGATTATTTTCAATTTTTGTTTTGTTTTGGAATCTCGTTTCGCTCGTGTCGCCGTCGCCAGCTGATTTTGATAAGAGCCGGTCCGCTCCGATTGGTTAACGGTCGCAATTGTAAGGTTCCAATGATGAAGCGTGCTGCTCGGTGGGTTGCAAAGTCGATTGCAACGGACTGCTAGTCGGCGCATAGTGCACAGTGGCCCAGGAGTCGTATTTAGGTGAAATAAATTACTTCACACCAGAGAAATTTTCTCTGAACCATTGCGGATTTTTTTATAACTTTTGGTAAAATTTGACAGATAAAAAGATATCAATTAACCCTACCATCCAAGCGTGGTTATTTTTGGCAGACAAGAAGCTAAATTTTGAAAACCCTGGCTGAGTTCTGCTCGAGAACCAATCGATCAGGGGCCTGAAGGCAAACTCAATACTCGAATCTGACTAAAACCCTCTATGACAGGCCTGCCCACCCTTTCTAAACTTGCTTTTTTTAAATGGCTACATCGTTCGATGTACATTTTTCTAGCTGCATTTTGCTTAATGCTCATTCATTCTGAGCTAAAATTCATAATGATGAATAAAATTAGACTAGAATGAAATCTAGATAAACATTTCAAAATGTCCTATCTGCATTGATAGATTCTCTTCATCGACTTTCTCTTTAGACAATAACTCCCCTAATAAATGGGTACCATACACTAACGATATCATAGATGGTACGGCCGCACCACATAAAGTTGGGATGATATCCCGAATTGGTGGTTAGGCGCTTCTTGTGGTTATTGTTTATGCGGGTCAGCTGCAAAACCTTTCCCTGTTTTATTTGACATTTTGGACGCTAGATAAGAACCTCCTTTATCAAACTATGTGGTAGAATTAGATAAGATAAGAACCTCCTTTATCAAACTATGTGGTAGAATTAGCGCAAAATCTGTTTGCATACCAGTGATTATGAAAAGAGAAATTCGATGAAGAGAATCGATCAAAGCAGATAGGATAATTTGAAATGTTCATCGAGAAATCATTTCTGAGATCCAGATACCAAGAGCAAATTTTTATTATGTCGTAAGTAACATTCGCACCAATCCGAGAAAAATAAAGTTTTGTTTTGATGACCGAAAAGTTATTCCTATTTCCAAGTAAACACATATAATCTCATAGTGATAGCAATGTTTAGCATATTTAGCAGGGTTTTAATCATACAAATGCAAATCGCTAGCTTTCATGCTAAAAAATACTGGTTTTTGAGTCAAACGTTATTATACGTCGTTTGGTGGCCCCTATTGTTACTTAAGTCAAAGTGTATTTACCAGGATATTCGGGAGAATTATCAATTACGTCTCCTTACGTGCAGCCCATTCATCATTTTAGGAACACCGAAATCATCTTAGCAACAAACAGTTCGATTTATTCACTTTAATAATGAGAAAGCGAAACGACGAACGTACACTTTTCACGGGTTTCTCAGCACTGTTACTTAAGTCAAACGGCATCTCCATAGAAATTGGGTGACTTAAGTAACATCGAAAACTATTTTGTTCGGAAGGTGATTACGTCAAAAAGCAATTTGACTGGTAAATAAATTTAAAAATGGGATTTGATCCTATATTTGGACAGTATATAGTGTAATAGCAGGAGAATCGATTGACACTGATAGCTCGACTTTGTTTACCTTTGTTACATTCGACGTAATGAAAATTTGCTCTTGATACAAAGTCTGATACAAAGTTTGTCATTATCGGTAGCTTCTTAAACCTTTATCGGTAGTTATCGGTAGGCCGTCTTAAGAAGGCTTTCCCGATACTTGAAACCTTTGTAAGCGGGGGAAGGGGGGGGGGGGGGGGACTCTGCTCCAGAACAATACGCTGTCCTTAGGGATTTGTACCTACATTATCTTGCAACTAGCATTTCACCTGACTTTTATTTTTGATTCGGTTTACGTGACAAATAATAATTGATTGCATCGCAATATTTTGCACATTTATTGGTGTCATTTAGTTACCAACTAAGATCAATTAATCAATAAAGTTAGAATATTATTTTGAGCATGAACATGAGCATGAGCATGATTGACTGCCCACGGTTGCTACTCTGTTATTGCCAGACCAGCTGTAATTACACAGAGAACCAATAGAAGATGCTTGGGACTAGCAATCATCCTCAATGTGTAAAAACTGGTGATCTCAAACTAGGCAATAACAGCACCGGCCACGCCCGAACACAGGTCAAGAAAGGAAGGGGTAGGAATGTGTTGACTGTAGAGGTGCGATGTGGAATACTTATTCGTAAATCAGTAATTCGGAATAAATATTATAGTTTGACTTATATGAATTGATTTATTCGGAGTTGTAATAATCACTCATCGATCTGAATAAGAAATTCCTTGTTTCCCTGATTCTAAGTTTGGAGGGACGTCAATACAAGTCGTCTGGAAGAGTAAATAGCCGAGGTTTTCCCCTTCCAGCAATCGTATATAAGGCGGTTGCCTTCGAGTCAGCATTCATTCCACTATCGGACGGTAAAGCGAACGGTATTCGCTTGGAAAACAGCAGCAGCATCAGTATCATTAGGGTCGACATACAAAGAACGGATCGCGATGGAAGACCAGCAACCCAATTAACAATTTTAGCTGCAGATTAGCTTATACAGCCAAAAATTGGCTTATACAGTTAATTTTTGCCTGTATAAGCTAGTCTGCAACTATAATTGTTTATTGGGAAGACCACGTATTCGTCAGAGCACACGGCTACACAGCCAAAAATCACGACATTGACGTGACACTCGCTTTGATGGAAGCCGAGAACACCTCTGCACTTCCACGAGGAAGCACTGGGATATTGGGTAATAGCATAGAGGTAACTCTAAGACCACTGGGTCCCGAAGAAAATCATTATTATTTTTGGCTCACTCAGTACCAGAACAACGGTCCCAAGCAGTCCCAAGCTATTTCACTCACCCCTGCATGTTCTGAATGAATCCACACACCCCTGATGTTATCTGTCAAACTTTCATAGCGAATCAAAACAAACATAGTGTAGTAATAGATTTTCAACTAGAATAGGGTACGTTAATCGTTTGCTTGGGACCAATAGGCTACTAAAGTGGTGAGCCACTTTAAAATCGTTAGTTTCGTATTGATTGTTGGCTATACTATGTTTTCAAGAAGAACTTTTTCAAAGCGTTACATCTGTTTGTCTGTGGTATAATGTTTGAAAACCCATCTGCTGTTGATCTTATGATTTTCGAGAAGGTGCTTGTCAAAATTGATTCCTGGTCTGTCAGAAATAAGTCTGGTACAATTGGTGTTGCAGCAAAGATTGACAGCTTCTTTTGGGAATTTTCAGTGGAGTGATTAAGGATAGTACCATAAAGGTAACTCTAAGACCAGAAGGTCCCGAAAAACGTGTTCAACTTTTTGGCTCAGCTCTGGTACTCTCTTCGGTCCCAAGCAAATCGATGCACCCCTTGAAACATAGGAAAATCCGAGGTAAAATCCGAGGTAAAATCCACAAACCCCTAATTTTATCTGCCAAACTTTCATAGTATGGGGTACGTTAATCGATTTGCTTGGGACCAATAGACTAGTCAAGTAGTGAGTCAATTTAAATTCGTTAGTTTTCACCGGTTGATAGTACGAAGTCCGCCATGTTTCACGCACAGTCTGACGTTTGCTTATGGATTTTACCATAGAGATTGCTAAAGTATGATTGTGTCAGTGATTTGTTTTCATCGGGAAAATTTTTCGCTATGAAGTTTTTTTCCCGATGAAAACATTTTGCGTATACGTATACGTGACGTAGTGTGCGTACGATAAACGTCAGCAATCTCTATAAGAGTAAAGAGCTACAGAGTCACCGTCAACGCCAATAGCGGGTTTATTGGAAATTTTTCCATCTGTCAAATTTAAATGAAAATGCACCAAATGGAACACAGCCCTAAAACTCCTAAAAAATCTGTAGAAATACATTTTAATCTGTAGTTTTGGCAACCCTGCTAATTTCTCGAGATACTGAAATATTTCACGCAGACTTGCTTTCAAAATTCAAAACATTCACGCGTGCTACACGCTAACTTCTGCTTACTCACCAGGTGAGTCGATCGTACTCACTTTCGTCCGATGTATCGAGTTGTCAAAAATTGAGTAAACGAGAAATTTCAAACTGAGTAAAAGCCACTCAGTCAGCAAAATCCTGGGATTGGAAAAAATGCCAGTCATGTCGGAGGAAACCTCATAGAAAATATTACTCAAAACCGGCTGAAATGCCTTCAGGTAAGTACGAATTGCTTAGGGAAACGGTGTTGAACCGTTTTTTGCTCCGCTAGAATGAATCCGGAACAAGCAATTTCCATTTCCTTGAATAAAAATCAAAACAAAACCCAATCCCCCCCCCCCCCCCGTAACTGAAAATACCGGCGAGTGGATTTGACTCAGTCTACGTGAGAACGTAGTTTACTCAAAAGTGAGTCAACATAAGGCTACTCAATTTTGAGTACACAGCAAAAAAAGTTGTTGAATATTACATCGAAACTGCTGCAACCAGGTCAATCCATCGGTTGTGTAATATCACATTGTACGATGTACATCGATTTTGCGAACAAAATTACATGCATTGATGTAATATTGTATCTGCTTTTTGCTATTACATCATTATTTCATACATCAGCTTGAGTTACGTTGATCGATATTACATTTTTTTTTGCTGTGTAGCCATACTTGCCGCTGAGATGAGTACATTCGACTCAATTTTGAGTTGACCAGAATAAGCGTGTATGCTTCATGTGCTTGCGCATGATCGATTGTATTATAAATAAAAAAAAATCAATTAAAATGACGACGGAACAAGGGTCAAACTTTTCGAGTCGTACCTGGTCGAGCCACCCAAGACCGGAGATATACACCGGTCGGAGAGGCGATTTCCGTTCAGTGGAAGAACTAGGTAAATATCCAACTTTTCCTTTAAATTTTGCTCAGACAAATCTTATTCCGACTGGCAGCTCCCGTCTTCAGGGGCGTGTTCCACGAATTTACGCAGTTCAACGAGATCCAATCGCTGGTCATGGACGATATGCTGTACACGGACAAATCGCTGGTGGTCAGCGCTCCGACGGGTTCGGGTAAGACGGCCATCTTCGAACTGGCCATGGTCCGGCTGTTGATGAAGATGGAAGATGACAAATATGATGGGGACTTCCGGATGATCTACATCGCTCCGATAAAGGCTCTCTGTACGGAGAAGTTCAACGATTGGAAGGGGAAGTTCGATCGGTTGGGGATACGAAGTGCTGAGGTGACCGGCGATACTGAGTTGAGAGATTTTTGGGACCTGCCGGATTGTAATTTGATTCTGACTACGCCGGAAAAGTGGAACTCAATTACCCGACGGTGGAGGCAGAATGTGAATTTTGTCCGGCTGATCAAGCTGGTCATGATCGATGAGGTCCACATTTTAAACGACCAGTACCGAGGACCGGTGCTGGAAGCGGTGGTTTCCCGGATGAGAGGTATCCACAGGTTTATCGGTTCGGATGGAGGGGAGTCGGTGGAACCGATGCGGATCATAGCACTGTCGGCTACGGCTCCGAACGTAGCCGATCTGGCTGCGTGGGTCGGGGATGGCAGTATGACTTGTTTCTATAAGTAGGTCAAATTAGAGCAATATTGAGTTGCTTTCGAAGTTTTAATGAATTTTCCAACCACAGCATCTCCGAATCCCGCCGTCCGATCAAGATCGACAAACACGTGCTCGGGTACAATTGCGACCCGAACACGACGCCCTATCGGTTCGATCTGAACTTGAATTACAAACTGTTCGAAGTCATCGCCAAATACTCGAGCGGTCGTCCATCGCTTATATTCTGCAGTACCAGGAAGGCGACGGAGACTGCTTCGAATCATCTGGTGGAACACCATTCTCTTCGCTTGACACCGGACCAGAAAGCCGCTCTGCAGAACATTGCCGATCAACTGCAGAATGGCGAACTGAGGCGACGCGTGCTGGTCGGAATTGCCTACCATCATGCCGGGTTGAGCTTCGCCGATCGGCAGCTGATCGAAGACTCGTTTCGAGCCGGTCGCATTCCGGTTTTGTGCTGCACCAGTGGTCTCGCCATGGGAGTCAACCTCCCGGCGCACTTGGTGGTCATCAAATCAACGCAGGTTTTGATGGAAATTGCCATTAAGTTTCTTGAATTATTTGCGACTTAACAGACTTCATCTATTCCAGATGTACACCGATTACGGGATGGAGGAGTACCCGGAAAGTAGCATCTTCCAGATGATTGGCCGCGCTGGGCGGCCCCAGTTCGACACATTCGGAGTGGCAGTCATCATGACCCAGAGGGAAAATGTGGTAAGTTACTGGAAACTCCTATATGTATATTTGAACCTAGCTAACATATGATCTTAACGAAAAAAAAAGCTATACAGAGATGCCGTCCAATGGTGAGTCACTCTCCCTATCTAATCACTGTCTCCCGTGTTGTTGTTGTTAGAAAAGTGTATTGATGTGTAATTGTATGTGTGAGTGTGTGGGTGTGTGTTCAATTGTGTAAAATGAGTATTAACCGCTCGGTGCTTCCTAAATGTGAAAAATGAAGAAACATCTATCTCCTCGTCCGCCTTCCGCCGATTATGAGAGCGATGTTCCGTTCCGTATGAAGTCGCGCGCCGTATGATCAGATGATGATGCGTGGTTTGAGCCCAGGAGTGGTTGATCACTTCCCGGTTAGTGGGTTTGCATTTTCCTTAAAGTCCACATCGGAAACGTAGCCGCTTTCCTTGTCGACGGTGTACTTGACGGTCATTAGGCGTCCGTCCGGAAGCCAGACCGAATACTGACCGGAAACCTGGGAAATGAGGATAATAGTAGTGTTAATAATTGAGAATCTAAATAACTTACATAAGTTCTCCGTTATTGTACCAGAAGTTAAACGAACATTCTTTGATTTAAGGGAATTTCATTTAAGGTCGGGGACCGTTGTAGAATTCAAAGGAACTTTATAGACCTTCAGGAAACTTCAAAGAACTTTAGAAAACTTCTTAGAACTTCAAGGACCTGCGTAGAAATTCTGGAAACTTTCTAGAAGTGCAACCAATATTATACGAGTTGAATTAACTTTATAAAAGTTCAGCGAACTTCGTAGAACTCCAGTGAACTTCGTAATTGTCCATCGCCAAACTCACAGGAAACAACAATTATGCTGCCTGGAAATTCCAGATGGAAATGCTCCTGACGCGAAAGGACTTATGGAATGTGGTAGTGGATACCCCAGCGAATCCTGTCACGGAGGCATGGAAAGGCACGAGTAATGATCGGATTGTGCATCGAGCAGAGTCAATATCCTCTTATTAAAGAGTGTGGCTCCTGCAAAGAAGTTTGGGATGTCTTAAAGCAGTATCACGAGAAGACGACTGCTTCATCTCAACTGTCACTTCTCATCCGGCTGTGCGATATGCGATAGCAGGAGAAGAGGGGAATGTTGAGAAGCACTTGTTAGAAATGGATGTGCTTTTCAATGTATGCCAGAATCCTACCACTACCTGACATAAACTCTTAGAAGCTTGGCCGGATGGGGACATAACGATGCAGCTAGTCCGATCGCAAGTGAACGACGAGTATTGGAAGTGTGCAGAGCGGAAGGGACTATCAACGGCGGCATAAGAACAAGTATTCAAGATACAGACTGGTAAGCCTAGGGTTTGCTTCTTTTGCAACAAACCTGACCACTTCAAGAAACAATGCAGGAAGTATCAGGCAGTTAAGGAAAAGAAGCAGGAAGAAGTGAATATTCCGGAGGCCAGCCGGGTGCAAAGCAAGAAGAAGCATGCAGAAAGAGGACCTAAAGGGTGATACGGTCAAAATTTGGTCAATATCAACTTGACGTATTTCTTTCAATTTTGCATTTAAAAAACCTGAACACCCCTCATTTTGAAGGTGTGTGTGTGTAGAATGTTGCTCCTATTTTGATTTTGGAATTCACTCTTCAGTTGTCAAAATGCCGTCCAAGCAAGAAGCGCAGCGTATCAAAATTTTGCTCGCGCATCGCGAAAATCCGAGCTACTCGCACGCAAAGTTGGCAAAATCGCTAAAAGTTGCCAAATCAACCGTTACAAATGTAATTAAAGTATTTGGGGAACGTTTGTCGACAGCCAGGAAGTCTGGATCGGGGGGAAATCGAAAACCGGAAGCCGCTGAGACGACAAAGAGAGTTGCCGGTAGTTTCAAGCGAAACCCTAACCCCTCTCTCCGAGATGCCGCAAATAAGCTGGGTGTATCGTCTACAACCGTGCATCGAGCCAAAAAACGAGCCGGACTATCGACTTACAAGAAGGTAGTGACTCCAAATCGCGATGATAAACAAAATACGACGGCCAAAGCGCGATCCCGGAGGCTGTACACGACGATGCTGACGAAGTTTGACTGCGTGGTAATGGACGACGAAACCTACGTCAAAGCCGACTACAAGCAGCTTCCGGGACAGGAGTTTTATACGGCAAAAGGAAGGGGAAAGGTAGCAGATGTTTTCAAGCACATGAAACTGTCAAAGTTCGCAAAGAAATATCTGGTTTGGCAAGCCATCTGTACCTGTGGCTTGAAAAGCAGCATTTTCATAGCTTCCGGGACTGTCAACCAAGAAATTTACGTGAAAGAGTGTTTGAATAAACGTCTGCTGCCTTTCCTGAAGAAACACGGTTGTTCCGTACTGTTTTGGCCGGATTTGGTATCTTGCCATTACGGTAAAAAGGCCATGGAGTGGTACGCCGCCAACAACGTGCAGGTGGTTCCCAAGGACAAGAACCCTCCCAACACGCCAGAGCTCCGCCCAATTGAGAAATACTGGGCTATTGTCAAGCGGAACCTAAAGAAGACCAAAAAAACTGCTAAGGGCGAGCAGCAGTTCAAGGCAAACTGGTTTTCTGCGGCGAAGAAGGTGGACAAGGTGGCTGTACAAAATCTGATGGCAGGGGTCAAGCGTAAGGCCCGGCAATTCGGATTTGGAAAAGCGGAAGCCTAACTGAATATTTTTCCTGAATTTTATACTAATTGAACTTGAAAAAGAAATTTAATTTGATTTTTTAAATAAACGATTTCACCATTTACACGCGTTTTCCCTTGACCAAATTTTGACCGTATCACCCTTTAGTTGCTGGGTGAAGATTGTCGATTGCGGAACCAAGATCATGTGCGAATGCTGTCTGGAGGGAAAAATGGCACGTCTACCATTACAGCTGGTCTATACGGATTTGAGCGGACCGATGCGCTACACAACGCCAGGCGACAATAAGTATAAAATTGTATGGCAATTATTGCCGACTATAGCAGGTATGTTGTATTGTACCTGCTGAAAGACAAGGCGGAAGCTAAGGGACGCATCATGAATTACGTTCGATTTGTCGAGAACAAATTCGGCAGAAAGCCAGCGATCATCCGTTCGGATCGGGGCGGCGAATTCGTAAATAAGGAATAGGAATAATTATACCACAAAGAAGGCATACAATCGCAGCTGACCGCCGGATACTCCTCGCAGCAAAACGGATTGGCGAAACGTCGTGATCAGTATTTGAAGGAGATGACTGTTTGTATGCTACTCGACGCTGGATTGGAAAAGCATGTCTGGGTCGAAGCGATAGCAGCTGCGGAATACATTCAGAACCGACTTCCGTCACGGAGTTATGGACAGGTTGTTGCATGGCCAAAGTCCTAGAGCGTATGGTCAATCGAAGACTGAAGCAACACCTCGAAGCTGGAAATTTCCTTGATCATCGGCAGCACGCTTTCCGACAAGGTTTCGGAGCGTCCACCTATTGCGCGTTCTCAAGAACGCCTATGACAGTGGTCTGCACACCGAGATAGTATCGCTCGACATATCGAAGGCTTTCAACAGAACGTGGACGCCCCTCGTCCTTAAGCAACTAATCGACTGGGATCTTAACGGACCCATCGTTCACTTCATCCAGAACTTCTTGTCTTGCTAATCCCGAGTCGCAGTCGGCAACACCAAATCCCGGCTTTTCCCCGAGGAAATGGGTGTCCCACAAGGATCGGTTATTGCCGTTACCCTGTTCCTCGTGGCGATGAGCGGAGTCTTCCGTCAACTTCCGAAAAACGCCGACGACATCCTCATCGTCACCAGAAGGGGTTCTCCTAGAGGTTGGTGGAGCTCCAGAAGGGAGTCCCTTTAGTACAGAGTATTTTTAAACAGAGTTCATTATAGTTCCTGTCTTGGTTCTTAGCGTGGTTGGCGGATCATGGTGTGAATGGCGGTGGTCGTTGTCGAAGGCAGTCAGGTAATCGTCATGTGATATCCAGGCTTACTCCAGTGGTGTCCATGTTCGAAGTGTAGTCATTTTGTATATATTGATTATATTTTATCGAACAGTCCAGCATCTTTTAGGAAAACTATTAGGGCTGCTTCCGTGGACGGGTCGTTAGAAAGGGCGTTACGTATGCTGTTCGGTATTCCATAGAGGAGCCGGATGTTATGGAAGCAGGGACAGTTAACAATCAGGTGTTCGACTGTCATAATCGTGTTGCAGGAGTCGCAAAACTTCCGAAAAGAGGCAGCACTACCCATGTTGTGGGTCACTCGGGTGTGTCCGGATCGAAGCCAGGATAAGACCTGTTGTTCTCATCGGCTCGTAATGTCATTCCATTTGGAGGTGTTGCCCTTTATTTTTCTCAGGAACGGTCCCCTTTTTGCGAACCACACCCAGGCCCAGGCGTCTCGGAGGGATGCTTTCACCCATTTTTTTACGTCCTGACTGGGTACAACTGTGGTGGCCATCCGGCCGGAGTGACCTGTGGCAGCGAGATGATCTGCTTCACAGTTGCCCCGGATACCGCAATGGCCGGGTACCCAAACAAATGAGGTGTTCGGCGGCGCGGCCTTTTGGATCCCTTGTATCCAGAGGTGTCTGGATGTTGCTGAATTCAAGGCGTATAAAACGCTGGCGGAGTCTGTTAGGGCACATATGGGTTTATTGGCGGGTGTCGTGGTGGCGAAGTGGATGGCCGCAGCCTCCGCCGAGAAGACGGAGCACTGATCGGGTAGTCGAAAGAAGTAGCTATTGGATACATCCGCTACTCCGAATCCGACCTTCCCCACGGCCTTAGAGCCGTCGGTGTAACGGTGTTGAAAATTTGCGTATTTAGTTCTCAGCAGCTCCGCTACGTGGGCCTGCATGGCACGGGAGTTGTTACCTGCCTTTAAGCGCTTGGCAATTGAAAGGTCAACGCGTATGGTTGGTTCTGTCCATCCTCTGGCTCCGTTCCAGTGTACCCTGGACACGGGTGGGAGCTCCTGATGGACCAAGTTTCCGAGAGCTCTGTTCCCCTCCCTGAGGAGAAAGACCTCGTGGTTCCCGGTGGTCTTTTCCAGGTAGCTGGTCGTTCTGCAGCTCAGCGTTTCGGCGACTTGATATTGAAACGGTAGTACACCGAGTTCGACGCATGCCGATTCAGCCGGTGTTAAAGGCAGAAGTCTTGCGACGATTCTGATTGCCTGGTTATACGTTGGGGCTAGTCGTGTGGTAAGAGAGTCGTTGGAAAGGCAGAACAGTTCGATCCCGTAGAATAATCTACTGTTTACAGTGGCTTTGGCCACTTTTAGTAGAATCTCTCTGTTACTGCTCCGGTGTGGTTTGGAAAGTGTCCGGAGGAGGTTTATCCGCGTGCGGCAGTTGGCTTTGATTTCGTTGAAATGTGCGTCGAACCTCAGCTCCCGGTCCAAGCGTACACCGAGAACCTGGATGGTCTTCTTGTTGGGTATTGGAATATTGTTCACAACGATTGCTGTTGGTATCGGGCGATGACGGAAGTGGCATAGGAGGGAAACTACGCTCTTTT